TTCCACAAGTCCAGTCACAATTAAAGACACGAGTCCTTTCACAAGTCCAGTTGCATATCCTTTAACAAGATGATGGATTAGGGTGCAAGACCTTGTCCAAAAGTTGCAGCTGCACCTGGAAATAACACCAACATCCGTGAAAGACGGGGGCTAGTGGCTGCCAATTGATGATAACACAGTAGTAGGAAGGCCTAACCTGGCAAAATGTCTGCTTACAGGCACATCATGTCTAGGACAGAGTTATATTTGTGGGTGGACAACTCACGAGGTAAACGGCCTCTCACAGGTGGTCTCCACAAGGGAAGCACCTACAGGTCATGACATCCTTTCAACTATCCACAGATGACCATCAGAACATTTTGCTGAAGGGAGCTTCTGTATGATTTGGTTTCTTAGCTACAGCTAATTATATTTCTTGAAATATGAAAATATCTTCAGGGGGGTCAGAAAACTTGTGACAAGCATTGTACAGACTGATTTGAAATATGGCTGTCTCTAGTTTTTGGAGGATTTTGACAAACTAATGAAGATGTCCATTCATTTTTGATACAGCTTTTTTAAGCAGATGTGATTGAGCCGGTACAGTATTCACTGAAATACTGAAATTTCGGTGCCTTGAGCCTCTGACTTGATTCAATTTTGGATTCCAATATAGAGTGTGTTGAGTGAAGTCGGCAGACAGTGTTAGTCCAATACGTTAGTGTTTATACATGTAGGTCCTTTACACATTGCATCACTCTCAGACAATCCTTTGCTGTCCAACATCTTAACGGGCCCATCCAACTTTGTTGTCCTTTCCATGAGCATACAAACTCTACTCTTTCCTTTTTTCAAAGTTTATGAAAGCATACACACCAACTGCAAACCCCTCCACCCATAGCGTATATTTTGTACACTTGTGAAAAGGACAAAAAAACATGGTTGACTTCAGAAACAAGTTCTGAGTGTCAGCTGTTAGCCATAGTTCAACCAATGCCACTTGAGCCATCTGAACGATGGATGGTTGGTTAGACAAGGCTAGGCGACCATCTGGAACCAAATCCCCAGGGCATGCTTTACATCACTCGTTATCAATAGCAGTTGATTATAGAGGGAACTATTGACATGAAAACGATTGTGCTAGATGGCAGATACCGTGATAACAAGAAATGCAACTGACAGACAGATGTTGTGTGTGACTTGGGATTTCACAAAAATGGTTGGACTGGGGTCAGTTGAGTAGGGAGTGTATTGCCCGAGCTCATGGATAAGCAACCAATCAATGTATGAACTATAGTTTGTGCTTGAACTTGCTTTTGATGTCCTGTTTCAAATTGAGTACTTGGTGGCTGTAGCTGAGGCTCATGACATGATTAACCCATGTTGAAAAGCCGTAGCCGAGACAGCAGTGCCAGATTCGGTTATTTGCTTACAGCATGATCTTTACTCCAGTAGACACCACATAATTATTCTGTTTGGTAGGGATATTGTAGTACTCCATTAAATGCACTTTCAATTTGTTAGTTTTCACTGTCGTTTATCCCTGGACGGAAAGGATGTAACCAAACACTGTTCAACATTATCCTCTCGGTCTTGTGCTTGCCACAGAGGCCCACCAAACAAAGTGTTCGCGCTGTTGCCAACAAAGTAAAGGCCAGAGTCTTTCAACAGCACAAATGAGTTCATCAGATAAGGGGGGTTACTTCGGTGTTTTCAACATTACATGTTTTGGCATTCATCATGTGCAGTTGCTTTTTCTTAAGTCAGGTGTGTCTGCACATGTATGTTACTAGCATTTGTCCCCTACTACTTGACCCACTCAAAATTTTCTGGCCCTGGACTGAGGACCCAGTGGCATACTCGTGCGACAGCCTCTTAGCAGTGTTTCCTGGCCTCGCCGATCATCTACACGTTTAGACACTCCAACATCAACTTCATTGATATGCTGGTGACTGCTTGCTCATTCTTCCTCTGCCGCCCCCCTTCCCTACCCCTGTGTACCCGCGGCGTGCTACATTTGACAGGCTAGCTCATCCCATCAAGCAGAACGCTATCAGTTTTTACGCAACTGTGCAGCTCAGTGGACTTCACAGGTGTTCCAGGAACCTGGGACCTTTTTCTTTTTCCTTCTAGGGCACTCCAGGTAATTGACCAGGTAAATGTGGAGCGTGCACAGTGAATGTTTTATTAGCTCACGAGTCACGACCTCCTTTATTTTGCTCTTGTGAATTATTTTACTGGAAGAAATATGGGACCCACGAGCCACCAAGCTGGTATCAAATGAAAGAAGACAAAATTAGCTTTCAACAAAAGTATACACTCGTGGGAAATGTTTACTTATTACTGATCAATTTGCCCCCAAAACCCACCTTCCCTGTTTTTAAAGTTCCTGGTTTGATGAATAAACTACAGAGTAACTTGCAGTATTCAAAGTTCTTGGACTGAAAGGTTACCTAATAAATAGTTCATGGTTCCAAAATGTAGCTTTGATACAGAATGGACTGATTGTACGTGACCTGTAGACCTTTTTCCTGTGATGCCATGATCGTGCTGGACCTATTGTGCTGGATTACGATGTGTTGTGATGGTACTGAGTGCATAGTGTTGTGATGGTAATCTACCTATTCAAGATAAACCAGTCACGCATGCAGCATTTGCACGTGTGTTTGCACGTGGTTGAAGCTGCCCATAGGAATATATGCGATCACTGTGGCCAAGGCAGTCCACACGTGGTGGTATTGTTTACATAAGGTCTATAAGGGGTGTCAAATATCAGGAAACATAATGTCCTAAGTAAAACCAACGGTTGGTACAGTGCTGAGACCACTGATGTACTGGGTCCTGTACTGATGACTGGCTTTATTTCTGGTGAACAACACTTATAATACACTTTGCTATGAAGGAACGCCATGTTTGTAAATGTTTGATACCCAGGTTTACGTCATGTGACTTACCAGGTGCAATGGGTCAGTATATTTGCATCTCTGTAATCTCAGGGTCAAAGAAGATACAGTTGAAAGTTTATAGACCACTCTCATTTTACCGTCAACTTGTATGGGCAGCCGAAGTTGCAGAAATATCACCTTTTGTTTGGTTGTACATGTACTTCAAATTCGTCAAAATGGACAGTTTCATTAATTGAAAATAGGGCTGTATTTTCCTCAGTGTTTTATAGTACGTATATTTTTATCTGGTATTCTGATAGCTGCGTGTGATTTCTAACACTTTGTGAATTATTCTTGTACGTTTGTAGAGATTGTACCGACGGCCAACTATAGTTTTGACAGCTCCTTGTAGGCGAAACACGACTGTGACGTCACAAGAGCCGACCCTGTACCCAAGTCAATTACTGCTTCTTAACCCTTGACAGTAACATTCTTTTGGAAGCACACCTTGTCTTTTGATCCAGTACTTATACTCCTTTTTCATTTCAGGAGAGAGGTAGTCAAGAAACACCAAAAAAGAAAGTGTGGCCAGTACATGAACTGAAAAACTTTTACCACTGTGTCATAAATGTTTATTGGGGCACAAAAGTGGTATACCAAGTGGAAAAACTCAACCAAAAACAATGAAACCAAACAAAATGAAAACAAGGATGGAAAAAAATCAATTTATCTACTTGAGGTAAAGGAGAAAAAAAAGGGCAAACACAAACATCCACACCCCAGTTGCAAGAATCAAACGCCATCTGAGCTGCAACCTTTTATTTGTGCCACTGTACAAGTGAATGCATGTACCTTGTACCTTGTAAAATATAAAAAAAAGAAGCAGAGACCACCCAGGCTACAATCTACTATGCTGTCCGCACCAAACCCCGGCAATCACTCCTCTCGCATGGGTAAAAATGCTACAGGTGTGATTCTACCCTACTTCTCTGTTACAGGGTTTTATTTTACGAGACTTCTCTACTTGGAATACGGCAACATTCATCAGCTATTTAAACAGTAGTAATTGGTCATCATTTCAAGACGCCAAACATTTTAACAGTAGTACCATGATCCTAACCTTATTAA